AATACTGTGAACTGTTCCACATGATGCGCGTGTGTGTGTGTGTGTGTGTGTGTCCATGTGTGGGTCTGAAAAGGAAGTTCATTTCTGGACATGGAGCATGTGTCAATATTCTCTTTGTTTGTGTGTGTGCGCATTATGCATTTATGCGCTTCAGTGTGATATGAACGTTACTAACATCACATGATACGCTAATTATCTGCATACAACATCATATGGACTCTTTGTTCAGATATGTCCATCCGAATAGACTGCCGCTGTATTTAAGACAATTCTAACAAAGTGACACGTCTATTTTGTAGCACGCTTGTCATGTAATTTGTATTACTGCGGATTGTAATGTTTCTTTTTGGTCGTTCTCTGTGCTGTTTCTTTAAATTTAAAAAGTACGTGATTCATTTCTTAAACGTAATATTACACACACAAAAAAGAAAGAGTGTAAGCTGGTAAATAAGCCTCTCTGAGTGTCTCTTCCCACACTTTCTCAACCACCAGACTATCCCTCTCTTTCCAGTACATACATGTACTCTTTTTAAAGTACATGCAAATGCTGTATGCATAAAATACATTTTATAGTGAAAAAAATTGTTTGACATCAGGAACAATTTCAGCCATCAACAGGAAATGTCAGGTCTCATGGACAATCCCTCAGAATCATTGCAGATAGTCATTTTCTACACTACCAACAGCGTCTAGAGACCACAGTGCAATGCAGCTCCCACACGTGTTGCACTTCAAGTGTGATCAGTCTTTCCACATACTTGTAGAGCTAACAGATGGGTGCCATACATTGGTCCTCTGGCTGGACAGGAAAATAAATTTACTTTAAAACACCTTTTTTTTTTTTTTTTAAATAAAACAGTGTCAGACTCATCTACAGCTGGATTATTAATTTAACAAAATGTGCAGGTGTTACATAATTGAGTGATGCTCCAATGTAGCTACACCTCTATGAATTTACAATACTAACAATTGCTGGTAGAGTAACCTCTTCTACAGTATCTGTAATTTATTACAAGTTGTTCTGACAATTATGCATTGTCTTGGTGATTAACACCACAGTTTATTATAGTCTTAATATCAAATGCTGCCAATGTAGAAAAATGTATGTGTGAGGGACAGAGGGAACATGTAGACCAGCTAACTCCTCACTTCTGTGTTTGCCAGTTGATGAGTGCATTTTGTTCAGATGGATGGATTATATTTCGATGCTACGTTGACCTTAGCTGAATGTCACCGGGCATCTCCTGTCCAATACTGACTGCGCACATGCTGACCCTGCAGCAGTACACACCAGATCAATACATCCTCTCCTCCTGTTGTGACTCTACAGGGTGTGAGAGTACAAGAGAGATCTTGCACTTCTATAAAAAGATAATAAATGTCCTCAAAAGGACTGGTCAAAGAGGGCACATCCTCCAAATTGAGGACATGATGGCTACTGTTATGGTTTAGTTTAGGACATGTAGTCAACAAAAGGCCCTCACAAACAGAACGTGTGTGTGTGTGTGTGTGTGTGCGCCTGAAATCACATTGCCTGCCGATAGTAAAACTGACACGATGATTGCTCCATTGAGCAGGGGAGGCATTCAAATGTGTGCGCATGTGACTCACCCTCTACAGCATCAGCAGAAAAAAAGTTGAACTACAGACATACAATCAATCCTTCAAAAAGTGAGAGAGATAGTGAAATATATAATCTGCTACATGGTCAGAAGAAAGGCTGATTTTAACAATACACAAAAGGTTTAAAAAGGTGTGTACTACCCTCGCCTTACTCCCACAACAGGTGTTTATTTCTGATAAGCAAACCGCAACACCCAAACCAGCAGATAACCGTACATTGATTCAATTCCTTCCAGCAATAAGACAATAAATGCTTTTGTATGAAGCAGCATAGTAGTAACAAAAGGCTATCAACATTTTACAGAGACAAATTTAGTTAAAAAGTTCTGCACAACAATTCAAAAATAATTAGCAATAAAATAACCTGAACTGACCTTGTTGTACCACTGCAACTAAAATACATGTAAACATATGTTAAGTGTTCTTTTACCATTATGAAATTACAGTAACTCATCTATGTTTTAAAACAACACAGTTCAATAAACCTTAAAATACTCTTCCGCTAAGCAACCCATAGGCTTTTAGCTGTTAGCGAGCATAGCTAAGTGACATGAGACAGACGGCAGCAGGCCAATGATAGATGATTCTGTTAAATAAATACATATTTAGATATTAATACTGACTGTGGCCACAGATGTGCAGCTGTTGGAAGTTTGGGGGACAATGCAGTCGAGACATTAGTCAACCAATGAAAATCAAGATATAAACTGACATCGGTCAGTCAAGGGTTATATAAATTACCATCAGCTCAAATTTAAAATGTATTTCTATAGTAGATACACTGTAAATCATTACAGCCCCACTTAGTTATGTCCACTTACTTGTATGTGTTGATTGGAAGTTGCTGCCTCTTTTGCATTTAAGAGAAGTTCTTCTTTAAACCATGGCAAACGTTGAAGCATGGACATAATGAACTAATTATACACTGCAGATAAGTCATGTATTCAAATTCCAACTAAAATACAGACACTTGTGGTAAACAAAGAAGGACTAGCGCCACCGGTGGAAAGGTCAACGGCCTTGTAGGCTACATATGCCTTGTACATGAAAATTAAAACTATTAAAATTTAAAATATGTTTAATAAGTTGTTTTAACTTTTGAGTTAGAACAATGCAGAAATGTATGTTGTTAGAGTTAAGGGAAGCTTTCAAGTATTGTTAAACTATGAAGGTAAAACAAGTTAAATCAACTAGAAAACAATGTTGAGACAACTAGAACATTGTAGTTAAATCAACTTTATGCCCTTTAATTTGTAAGTTGAAACAAAGGCAATCTTCGTCGTGTTGACTAGCGTTGTCAAGGAACAAGGTGAACTTGCATTTCCAAGTTAAACAATTTCAATTTAAGTAAATAGTAAAGGTTGAATAATCTTAATAAAATTATTTTAAAAATCTTCAGGAGATAAAATATTTTCCAAGAATTTGGTAAAAAAAAAAAAAATCTTCCCATACACCACAACTATTTCACCATTAAAATTATAGAAAAGTCACAATATGCTAACAAAACCTCTGCCTGTTATTTGCTAGGAATGAACTTGAGTTGCATAGACTTCAAGAAAATGGAAATCTTTACGTGACAGTCATAAAATAGTATTACAGTAGTATCAATGAACCCTGTCAGTCTTATCAGAGGACAAAAAGCTGCTGAAAATCAATAAACCGGCGTCCTTTGAGCACGTCGTTACGTCGTGGGCGTGGCCCAATTTGCACGTCACGCCATGAGAAAAGTATCCCTACTAGACCTACACGTCATCAACATAGAAATGCTTCATTCATTAGGATTTCATGGTTAACGCGACTGTTTATTAGGAAATATATGACAAAGAAAGGCAATAATATATATGTACTGTCAGGGAGGAACATGGAGGACGTTTAAATACTTTTCACTCCAAGACACCAAGAGTGAATTGCAGTTGGCCCCAGGTTGTGCCTCTGCTAAAACATGAGGCACAAACAAGTGGCTAGGTTTCAGCACTTTTATCTTGGCCCTGTCTGCCCGTGGGACCGGGGACTGACAGACACAGCCTCTGTAAGCTGGCCCCTTGAGCCGAGCACGGCCAGTAGTCATGAATGGGGGGACGCGCTGAAGGTTAGAGGGCTTTTATGAATGAGCCGGCGTCACGCCACAGCAGCGCAAACATCCCTTCACGGTGCCCTTCGCCCTTCCACCCGCGCCGACAGTGATCTGTGCAAGACAGGCATTCCTACCGAGCACAGCCCCGTGCAGTCTGACAGAGACAGACACGTTGTCGATATACGCTAATGGAGTTGTAAAAAAAGGCAACCTGGGAGCCAATCATTTAAACGCTTCTGGCTCGTCTGCTCATATGTCTGCACATTTTCATTTGAGCCTTAAAAAAGACCGCATAGCCTACATTAAAAAACAATTTAATAATCTCCCTGGTGATCTATTCGTGTTTGTTTTAACAATAGCACCCACATAAGGACAGGACTACACAGGCGCCTGCCACCTGCCCAGCATTAAATCCAATTCAGATTAAGCTACAGGCTCTTGGTAAAAAGATAATTTTAAAGCTCCAAGCGCTTCCATATAGGCCTAAGGTATGGGTGCCGTATAAACAGGTCCGTGGGCCTACACATTGTGCTCTATATTAGCTACGTTTTGCAAGACGCACCAGGACGACCCACGGGTCTGTCTGACAGAAACAGACAGATACAAGCTTGCGAGGCTCGACTCGAAGAGAAACAGACGCGCATTTTTTTCAGGGAAGTCGTCGTTTACAATCGGTATTTTTTATGAATGGAGCGCGGTAGGCTATGCAAATGAGGGCGATTGAGAAAGAGATGGCGGATGAGGCATATCGGATATCTCATATCCTGTGAGACTTCCCCCTTCGGTTGGAAGCAAACATACAGATGTGGCCAAATCGCTTCTGTAAACGCCGTCGGGTTTTTCTTTTTTTAACTTCATGCACAAACAAGAGGTGAGCGAGCTCGCTGCTGTTTTGTGTATTTATATATAAAGGTGCAACTTCTTCGGCGCGTGTAGAGTTTTTAAGTTACGCTGCAACAGGGCCTGCTTTCTCGCTTCAGATCCTTTCAGAAAATGTTTCCGATCCACCCACGCTTATTCCCCTCCTCCTCCTCCTACTCCTCTTCTTTCTCTCTTGCCTTGTGAAGACTAGTCTACACCAAAGTGGGGGCCCTAAAAATTCTCTTCCACAGCACTGTCAATGCATTGCTTTACACAAGCATCAAGCACCAATAAGACAAAATGCAAAACACAGGCTACATGAAAAGCAGTTTTGTGGGGTGTTTTAGGCTGCAAATTCCACCAAGTTGCCCGATTCATCTCCAACTTGTAGGCACTGGGAGAAGCCAAAAAAGACATACAGAGAAATCGCCACAGTACTTACTCGTTTGGGTGTGTTTCTTCTATCATTTTCTCGTTTCACCTCAGGTAATGTACCACGGCGGTTGCATACTTTTCGCTCGTCATTCTTTCACCGCGTCTCCTCCGATTTTGTCTCCAATTCCGCATAAATCCCCCTGCGCCTTTGTGCGAGTGTCGGCTCTCCGGCTTGCCTTCGACAGGTCTTGCCTCTGTCTTCTTTTCCTCACTTTCCCCCTCTTTCTCCCCCGGAGCCACCCAGTTTCTTTTGGATCGCGAATGCCCCTGTAGCCTAACTTTAATACCCCATCGCCTTCAGTAGGTAACGTAGCCTATACAGATAGTTTGGTAGCCGAATCCAGCTCTTCTCTTCGCCCCCCTCCCTCCCCAAACGCACGCGCGCGCACACACACACACACAAGGCACACTCTCCGTTTTTAAGTCCTAAGGCGCATGTTTTCACCGACGACTCCGGTTCCAATTGTGCGTAAAAAGCGCGTCGTCGCTGTTGTTACCGAGGGGTGGCCCCGCTAGAGCCCCATCTCTCTCTACTCCATGTTGGATTGCAGGCAGCCGAGCTGCTCCAACGACGCCGGGGGAGGGAGGGGGAGGGGGAGGGGGAGGGGGAGGGGGGATGGGGGGGGGGCGGCGGCGGAAGCGGTGACGTCGGTCTACATTTTGGTGGAGGGCCCACGATGGCTACAAGCCGTATGGGGGCCCTTGATAAATGACCCCCCTCCGTGCTTTCACTTCCCCGGATCCTTGATTTCAAATCCGGACATGTCACCTTTGTTCTCAAATGAAAATCCTATAACTTCCTGTTGGGATATTAGCCTATAGATAGATAAGAATTACAAAATACAACAGTAAGCTCGCCAATCAGCGCATGAGGCAGATTATAAATGGCTATACTCTATATCACACAAAATACCAGAGTCAGACAGTAATAAACTGTAATGCTTGTCACTTGGAGTTGGTTATCTTAACCCCTGTTGATAAAATCCTAGGCCTATAGATTAAACAATCATTTCGTTGAATAGCCTAAAAAACGATTAGTCTTTATAAAACCCAACTGCATGTCTGATGACAGAAACAAACAAAAAGATTAAAGGGATTTTCTGGTTAATCTTGTTAACTTTTTACCACCATATCTCTGAGAGGCTCTCAGGTAGCCTAATCCATAAAGTAGTCTCTTATTCCTTTTTGGTCAAGTGAACTAGTCTACGGATTGAGCTTTTTAACACCTACTGATCTCCTAAACTGTGAGGAAGTTCAATGATTAGCCACTTTTGTTTTCGTTGAGTGCTGCCAGATTTGTGTTTCTGCCTTAAAGAGTTGCCAGCATTGTTTTCAGGTTCATGCCTGGGCAAAAAAACACCATGCTCCTAATGTAAAACTGTGGTCGTGTAGCGCCCTCAGCTGGTGATTCCTACATCTTACATCTCATGTTTGGAGTAAAGGTTTTGACCAGTACTGTAACTTCTTTTTATGAATAGTAATTATTTTTAATTCAGTTTTTTTTCCAGTGTCACCATCATTTAAAAAAAATACAAATTATGTTTTTTAAATGAAATAGCCTAATCATCATAATTAGTAGAGTCATTAAAGTTATATGATAATACACATTAGCAATTCAGAGCTGTCAGAACCACAACATTGCTGCTTAAGCATTAATCTAAAAGAAGATAAGGGAGATTAGGCAGAAGCCCAGCACATTGTGATTGTGGCCCCTCAATCAAAAGGAGCAACTGAGTGGATCATTGGCTCAGCAAACGGTTATTCTTTCCTCACACCTGGAGTTTTAATTGTCATCTTTCACAGACTGTGAGAATACTTCAAATCCAGTGCTAGTCCACATAGTTACATTGGATATTTATAGCATTAATGCAGTTTTAGGGAACAATTTTGACAAAAAAATTCAACATAAAAGGTAAAACGTGCTGTAACATTGCCACTAACTTCTGCAGATTCACTTAATTACAATATTTGGTTCATTTGTGTCCACAATGTATTCATTGAATCTTAGAAGTAGAAACTGGATCCACCAATGTGTGTTTTATCATCTGTTGTATTTGCATAATGTGTCTACTATGTGCAGTTTACTGAGGTTACATTATGAGATTTTAGTAAAAAAAAAAAAAAAAAAAAATCAATATTCACTCCCAAATGGAGCTGTCAAAATGCCTATCAGCTTTATTTGAGTAATTCCCTTAAAACAACAGTGTTTGTGTCCTAAACAATTTCAAATTTTACAGTAGAAATCTTTGATATCACCTAAACAGTCACTGTGTGGAATAATGTAAATATTCTTACCAGCTCAATAACCATTTCAAAGAAAATACTTTCTCTTCTTAAACTGAAAAATATGTATATTCATGTGCACCGTCAGTTACCAATAGTAAAACCAGACTTGTTTGCAATGAAATGTCAATCAATTTGACTATATCACATATCATGTGAACCTTCAGCTGTAAACTTATTTTCATTCATTATTTTCAAGAGAAAGCCATCAGCTTACTGCACTTTAAAACATCCAATCATTCCTTGTTGTGTAGCTAAACCTGTTTTTGAGTTTAGTATTATGCAAATGAACTAAAAACATGGTAAATGTTCTTAAATTATTACAGAGCATTTCATCAAGTTGCATTTACTGTTTGACAGCCACTGTAGAAAGTACAGCTAAGTGGGTATAGTGTTTTTTCTTTACTATGTCTGGTTTCTGTCAGTGTGTGTTGTTTTTGGATCCTTATGCTGTCCTAATATTTGCTTTATATTCTGTATGTACTTCATGCAACTGAAATTTCCCCTCAGGGTATTGAAGGGTCATTCATCCCAAGCTCCCTTGTGTATATAAACAGTTAATGACTCCACACACACACACACACACACACACACACACACACACAGTAAGCCTCCCATTCATCATCAGTGGAGTAAACACTAAAAATTCAGTCTCGTTTTTCTGTTTCCCAGCTCTTGGAGACAGATATTCATAATATCCTAGTTTCACAGTAATATCACATAACATGATTGTTTCAGGGTCTTACTCTTATATAAAGACAAAATGAAGTGCTTATAATCGTATATATTAAGATCTTTTACTTTAGTAAAAGCAGCAGTACCACAGTTTAGAAATATGCTGTTTTAAGTATAAGTCCTGCCGTCAAACTGTTACTTAAGTAAAAATAGCTTACATAAGTATAGCCTCAAAAAATACTGAAAGTACTCATCATTTCAGAATAATATGTCACTGGATTATAATTAGTCATGCATTCATGTGTAAGCATCACTAATGTTGGAGTTGGTAAGGTGGAGCTCATTTTAATTACTCTCTTAATCTATAACATTATATCATAATTTGTTAATATTGATTTATATTTTGTACTAATTATCTGAATCTGCAAAGTAATTAACTAACATTGACAAAGAAATATAGTGGAGTAAAAGAGTAGGCTACAAAATTGGCTTCCAAAGTATGAAGTAGCATGAAATGGAAAGACTCAAGTACCTTAATATTGTACTTAAGTACAGTACTTCAGGTAATTCAGGCTTTCAAAATTAAAGTCCTCCTTCACTCACAAAGTTGCCTTGCTATAGTTACTTCATGTGCATGTGCACAAGGATCCACAACAATGTTGTTTTCACATTCATCTGCTGAAAAGGAAGTCTTCTGTGCTCACCTTAAAGAAACATTATTGATATATTTTTTATATATATATTTTTATATTTATATATTTTTCATAATTATTGAGTGCCAATCACTTCACTGCTGTCATGAAGAAGAACAGCTGGACATGAGCATTTGTTATGTTTACATTAGTCTTACCATTCCTGTAAAAGTCATACAAAAGGCCTATTTAAGGCATATCCAAAGTAAATTGAATGTAGTTCTTGAACGATTTGGAGTATATGCATGGTTTCAGGCTTCTTTGAAAGATAACACTCTGGAGTGTCTAACCCAAAAGTCACATTTGATACTGATTTTTGAAAATGTTTTTTTTACAAATTAAAGTTTTTATTTTTTTTTGTCTATTAATACACAGACATGTTACTGTTTCAATTATTTTTTATATTCATTTTTACATAATTTTTATTTTATAAATTTTTATTATTTTAGTTTTCATTAACACACACAAACACAACTTTTACTGTTTCATTTACTTATTTAATGAAATTAATTGTTCTTATGTAATTTATTTGTAGCTTCTTTGGCAATATTGTTGTTAAACATACGTGCCAATAAAGCTGATTTGAATTTGATACAATTACTACATATTGTTGCTTTAAATCTGATTTTAGCATGTGTATATATGAGCAGGATTTGCACTGCTACTTGCACATGTCATTGCTGAAAAATCGACTTTTTAGTGAAGCAGTAGACATTTGCACAATAGCAGTTCAATTAAAGTTAATGCTATTTGCATATTCACACATACTGGATTTTTTTTTAATCAGAGAGAAGCAGTAGGTGTGCTTTCAACGAATGTTCAACATTTTACTTTGTTTTGTAGGTAAACCATATCAAGCAGAAATTCTTGTTACATGTTTTAAATGTAAAATAGAACTTTATTCATGCCAAGGGAAAATGTTGTCCGTGTATGTGTGTATGGATGTATGAATAGTAGCAAATAGTGTACAATATAAAATATCAAAAGTGTGGAATCTTTATTGTGTGGAAAATAAATGCCCATGAAATGTTGATGTGAACAGACTGTTCAGGAGGCAGAACACCACAGCTGTGAAAAAATGTCTCTGATTCTTGGACCATCAGCGCCAGTTTCCCTCATGGCTGCGTTCCTCCCCCTCTGCTCTTGCCTGTACACCAACAGCTGCACCTTCAGTCACCAGACCGTCAAGCTCCTAAAGTTTGCTGATGACACCATCCCTGACTATCTGGTGACCTGATGCAGTTAGAACAACCTGGAGCTCAATGCTCTTAAGACAGTGGAGATGGTAGTGGACGACAGAAAGACAGCAGCCCCACCCTCCCTCAATACCCTGTGTGACTCCACGGTCGACATTTTGGGGTCCTTCCCCTTCCTGGGGACCATCGTCTCCCAGGACCTCAAGTGGGAGCTGAACACAGTGGACTGCCAAGGACAAGGGCAGTCTACCATCCTTTCAGGACCTGTACACCTCCAGGACTCTGAGACGAGCAGGAAAGGTTGCAGCTGATCCCGCTCACCCTGGACACGAACTGTTTCAGACACTCCCGTCTGGCAGGAAGCTACGCTCCATCACGACCAGAACCTCAGGCCACAGAAACAGTTTTGTTCTGTTTGCAGCTGGCCTCGTCAACAAGGCCTGGGACCCCCACTGACACTGTAAATCCCATGTAAATAATTTGCACATCCCTGCACAAACTGTGACTTAAATAACAGCCATACTGTACATATTCTTTTATAAATTAGCTTATAAAGCTGATTCTGATTAGACAGACAACCTTTTATACCCCGGGTAACCCCTCCCTCAGGCTTGGGTACAAGGGAAAGTAAAAACAAACAGATTCATTTTCACCAAAAGAGTATGTTAAATGTTGTCACCAAAAACTCCCAAAGCATTTATGGTCAGTTGACCAAGATGATAA